TGTATTTTTTGATATCCGATCAATTTGATTTTTTACAGGTATGATATACTCAATAAATCTTAAAATGTGAACTGTTCAGATCATCAAAATTGGCCCCAAAAGTAGACCCAATAATCCAACAAGTAGGAAGTCAAAGGGGATATTGAATCAGAGGATCTTGATTCGGTACGTAAACCCTTTAGGTTATGACCAACCAATCAAAGAATGCCATGCCATCCAATTCAATAAGCCACACCAATTATTTCATTTACTAACAAAGATCTTACCTCATCTAATCGACTTCTTCCATTTTTTGGTTTCTATTCCCCATCACCTTTCTACACCATTTTTCTCCCCTAGCCCCAACCAATTGAACCTATCTCCCTCTTCCCTTTCAAAAGTCTAACCACCTTCTCCCATTCTGCCCTTTCTCCCCTAATCCCAGGCACTGACTATAACCACCTCTTTTCTTTGGCAAAGTCATTACATCAACTACTAACATCAGCCACTGTTACCTTCCTTCTTAACTCCCTCACATAGCCCTCTTGCCTGTCTTTTCACTTTTTTCTCTTTATCCTTCCTCTTTTTCTCCTCTTTAGCACCAAACCCCTCTCTTTCTACTTTCCATACAGCGTTGCCGCTGCACCCACAACAAAAATGCCTCTCTTTTGCAACCTTTACCCATTGAAACCTTTTAGAGCTTTTGCTAGTGTTGAGATCTAACCAAATTTTGAATGTCGCTAAAAACCCTCTGTTCGGCGACTAAACTTCATTTTAGTCGCTAAAACCCTGCTTTTCGGCGACTATAGTCTTTTAGTCGCTAAAACCTTGCTTTTCGGCGACGAATTCCATTTTAGTCGCCATTTCATGCACTTTCAGCGACGAATTTTTTTTTTTTAGTCGCCGTTTGTTTTTTTTGTTGTAGTGTCTATTTGGTAATTGTTGGGTGTACTTGTACTATTTTCGAATATTTTTGAATGTCTTGTGGTCGTTTTTTGTTTCTGAGATCATTAGTGTTGTATTAAATCTTGTTTATCGTTTGAAGCGTTTCAATTTGAGTTTTGGGCTAGAGGACGTGAATTCTAGGCTTAGAGTTGAAATTTGAGGTAGTTCATTAATAGGGGCACTCTGCACGTGTAGTGGGCTAGGCCTACTCGTGCGGTGGTAAGAATCCGTGTGTGCGACCATGACTTCCACATGTGCAGTGATGAAGGTTAGTGTATGGTTATGGTATTGCTAGGGATGTAAAAATGGCTCGCGGCTCGTGGGTGGCTCAAAACCCGCCCGCGACCCGAGATGGACGCGACCCGTTTAGGCCCGCTTAGGCCCAAGCCCGAGCCTAGCCCGAGCCCCTGGGCTAGGGCCTGGGCCATTGTTTTGAAGTCCGACCCGGTCTATGGTCCAGCCCATCGGCTCGCTTAAGACCCACTTAGGGCTCGGCCTGAAGCCCGACCCGCCCAAGGCCAGTGTATTTTTTAATAGAAAATAATAAAACTTTGGTAAAAAAAATAAAAAAAAAAAAAATGGTTAGGCCCGCCCAACCATTGGGTTTAGGCTTAATTTTTGACCCGTGGATCGTCCCAGCCAAACTCGAATTTTGGTGGGAGCCCACAAGGCCCGACATGGGCCCAGCCTGAGCCCGAGTGGGTCAGGCCGGATTTACACCCCTAGGTATTGCGCTAATTTGCACATGCAACCATTGGGTTTTGCATACGTAGCGAGACAGTGTAGACTGCACATGTGGCCTTCTAATAATTTCTCTTATTCTTTTATTACACACCAGGTCTGTTACGTCTTTCCCTCATTTGTTTCTCTTCCCCCCACCCCTTTCTCTCTCTCTCTCTTACTTATCTCTTTAAAATTTTATGAAACTAAAAACGGAGGTAGTTGGAGTTTGATTTTGCCTTTGAGTAAAAAATAAAAGCCATATAGCTCAGCTAGGATAGGATTCTCTGTCAATAAAATCTCTATCCATATTTCATTGCACTCTAAGCAACCTAATTATGCCTCAAAATTCATGTATTTGGAGATTTCTAAATTTTGAAGACAAAAGATGTTAGGAGTAGGAGAGGGGTGTATATCGGTTATGATAGTATACAAAGAGGGAAATTAATTGAACAAACACTTCTTTTATTCAATCATTCAAACAACTCAACAAAACATAACTATCGCTTTGTTAACTCTCAAATTCTCTCAACTCTCTTAGAATTCTCCTTATCTAGAGATGTTATGTTTCTATCTGAAGATTACATTTTTCTTCTCCCGCACTCTCTAAAACAATCTCACAACTCTTTATTTATAGACTCCACAATCGTGTACAAACTGTGTATTCTATGCTAAGTTTCATCCATGGATATTCCTCATTCTTCTTCTTCTTCATGTTGGCTTCCTCTTCTTCTCTCTAGAACTTTCTAGCAGCCTCTTGTTTGTTCTCATTTTCTTTGGGATTCCCCTTTACCAAATTCAAATTGAGTTTGTCTTTCCAACATCTCCTTTTAAACTCAATTAATGTATTTTAAGATTTTCGCCACATCGTATAGTTCGGAACGCAATAATATATTCCTATATAGCACTATTGGTATTGAAAGTTTTAGGATATATATTCATTTATTACAGAATTAAGATCCTCTCCTTGAGTTTCCTCATTGATTTCCTACTTACTGAGTTATTGGGCTCATTTTTAGGCCCAATTTCGATGATCTGAATCATTCACATTTTAAGATGTTTTGAGTATTTATAGCTGTAGAAAATCACATTGATCAAATATCAGAAAGTATGTGTATGGAAAACTATTTATTAATTTTTTTTTTTAAAAATAGTTTTTAGTTTGATGATCCAAACACGTATTTTTTGATATCCGATCAATTTGATTTTTTACAGGTATGATATACTCAATAAATCTTAAAATGTGAACTGTTCAGATCTTCAAAATTGGCTCCAAAAGTAGACCCAATAATCCAACAAGTAGAAAGTCAAGGAAGAAACTGAATGAGAGGATCTTGATTAGGTATGTAAACCCTTTAGGTTATGACCAACCAATCAAAGAATGCCATGTCATCCAATTCAATAAGCCACACCAATTATTTCATTTACTAACAAAGATCTTACCTCATCTAATCGACTTATTCCATTTTTTGGTTTCTATTCCCCATCACCTTTCTACACCATTTTTCTCCCCTAGCCCCAACCAATTGAACCTATCTCCCTCTTCCCTTTCAAAAGTCTAACCACCTTCTCCCATTCTGCCCTTTCTCCCCTAATCCCAGGCACTGACTATAACCACCTCTTTTCTTTGGCAAAGTCATTACATCAACTACTAACATCAGCCACTGTTACCTTCCTTCTTAACTCCCTCACATAGCCCTCTTGCCTGTCTTTTCACTTTTTTCTCTTTATCCTTCCTCTTTTTCTCCTCTTTAGCACCAAACCCCTCTCTTTCTACTTTCCATACAGCGTTGCCGCTGCACCCACAACAAAAATGCCTCTCTTTTGCAACCTTTACCCATTGAAACCTTTTAGAGCTTTTGCTAGTGTTGAGATCTAACCAAATTTTGAATCAATTATCACACTTTTTTTTTTGTTGGTAAGTATCAATTGTCCCACCCTAAAGTCAATATGATTGATGTAAGTTGTTTGATGGTGGTAATGGTTTGATTTGATGATGATTCGTAGCATGGTGTTGGTAGTGTAGTAAAAGGGATGGGAGAGAAGAAAGAATGAGGTGATGACAATGGTAGGACATAGGAAAAAGGGAGGCAATGATGGGAGTTGTGGTAGGGAGAAGAAGGAAGGAGGTGCTGATAGTGGTGGTGGACGGGAAATAAGGTGACAAAGGTTAGTGGTGGGACTATAAGGGAAGGGTGATAGAAGTGGCGGCAAGTGGTAGTGTGAGGGTTGAGAGAGAGAAAACAAAAGACAAAGGCTATGCAAAAGAGAAAGGAAAGATCAATAATGTAGGATGTATGTGGGTGGGTGAAATTTTTTGATGTAGTCTATTGAATTGGATGAAGCGACATTCTTTGATTGACTGTCCGTAAACTAAAGGGTTTATGGGCCCACAAATGCTATGGATCATGGAAAAATATCACAAAATTCATAACAAAGTCGTGCCTTGTTTGACCGGCACAATTTAGGATCAACCAACTAGTCGATTGTCATGACTTCAAGACGAATTTCGTGAAACAATTTCTGTGATGCCTAGACTTTCTCTTATAGGCCAACCATAAATTATCCAATCCCCCAAAAGTATAATTACGAGACTCCAAAACATGAAGTAACTATATGTTCTTCATAGAAAATTTAATTGTATATTGCGGCAAAATTGAATAATATATAACAAGTTGTTCCTCCATCTATCCCTTAATCATTTAACTTTTATTGGTGGTTCTTGTAAATGATTTTAGACTTAGGCTATGCAAGTAAACATATACAATCTCTAGTCTATGTAACAATGGAACATTACAATGACAACAATGTTGAGCAGAAAATGTTCTTCTCATCTATCTCTTCAGATTAATAGTTTACAATGTATAAATCATAGCCTTCGAAAAACATTTCGCGACAAATACAACTATAAATGAACGTTTCCTTTTTTTTTTTTTTTTTTCTTCTTTTTGTTCTAAGGCAGATTTAAATATCTCTTTCTACTTACATGTAACAACATTTTCCCAATCATCACGCCAAGCTATATACTTCTCATATCATCTCCCAATTTCTATGCTTTCCAATAAGTTCATGACCCACCTTTCGTCCATCCCAGAAGATGCATTGCACCACTTATGGTGTCATCATATATATTCATTCATGCATAACTTCGTATAAATTGTGTTTGAATCTTAGATTTGTAGAAATATTTTTACAGACAGAAAAAGTTAATTTCTTTTCTCTCTATAATTCAAGATCAAAAACACTAAAGAAAATTTTAGCCATCAACATTGAAGGAGATTAATCCATAAGAGGCCTCGCATCATCCAATATTTTAGGATGAAATAAAAATATATATACCCAACTTTCACATATTGTCAAGATGAGACAGATAGGGTTAATGGCGTTTCAGATTCCCTAGAAGAGGCAACTGATGACTCGCATGCACCGTCATGTTGTCCGTTCTTGCCTTTGCTGCTATCGTCACCACCGATGACAACTACCTCCCCAAAATGCACTTGTCGTTGATTATTGGGAGAATTCACTGGAGAATCGTGTGGGGAATTCTTGTTCGTGGTGGTTGTGGTAGTGGCAACAGGTTTTGCGTGGTTTCCATGTTTTGAGACATTGTGGCCATCAACACATCCACCTCTCCGGAAGCAAGCTTTCATGAAGGTATAGATGTATGCTAGAAACCAGAAAACCCATGGAAAGCTTATCAAAACCATTGATAAGCTAGCGAACCAAGGTTGTGAACCATCGATTTCAAATACCCACATTAGGAGGAGTATTCCACCAGTTAGACATGAAACAAAGAATAGCCCAAAGATCAAAGGGACTCTTAAATCTCTTTGTCTTTCTTCCTCCATTGTTGTTGCACAGGCAACACAATACCCTTCTCTCTTTCCTCCCTTCCTCTCTCTTTTTCTTTCCTCTCTCTCTTGGAGGTTTGGATTGAAGGGATTCAAATTCAACAATCTCCCTCTAGATTTTCTCTCTTCTTCTTTGTTTCGCTTTCTAGGTTGGAGTTGCAGAAAGCCAATGACCATGCATGTGGTGGACGAACTCAAAAAAGGAAACAAAAAAATAGGGTTTGAAATAAGGGGTTGTTTTTACCCACCAATGGGTTGGCTATTATTTTTTCTTTTTATATATTTGCTTTTGAACCCATAGTTTAATCAATAAATCTATAGATACATAATTAGAATTAGAATTAGAATTAGAATTAGAATTTGGACACAAATTATGAACGAACAAATTTTTATTAAAAATAGACTTCACCAAGTCTGTAAAATATTCTCTATTAAGGGAAATTCTACTATACATATTTTTTTAAAACGGTATATTATATGTATTATTAGTTATATTCTTTTCTTTTTTTAGTTATGACTCATGAGTTTTTAGTTGTGTCTCATGTTGTGTTTAGTTATATCATTTTTTTTAGTCATGACTCAAAAAATTGAAATTATACTATATTTGTTTTAGTTATAATGTTCATATAGTGCCCATCCTTCAAAAAGGTGTGCATTCTAGAGTTTCCACTCTATTAATTGAAGGGAAATTCAAATATATACTCATTTAAAAAGGGTGTATTATATGCACCTTAATTATGTCATTTTTTTTTAGTTATGACCAATTTTTTACTTTATTTCTGGTATTATTTTAGTTATGACTCATAAATTCTTTAATTTTGCCTAGGGGTGTTTGTGGGTCAGTTTGGTTCGATTTGACACTAATTTTGGAACCAATACAGTCATGATTAGTTTCAAGTTTTTGGACCCAAAACTAAACCAATCATGCTCTAGAACTAATCCAAACCAACCTAATATAGCTCAAGTTGGTTCGGTTTGAAATTATGATTGCATTATATTAAAAATAATTGAATCAATATTGTCTTCTGATTTGTCTATCTCTGATTTTGCATCAATATTTTCTTCTTCTTCCAAGTGCTTTAAAAATTCAGATTTAAGAGATTTCACAATATCACCACAACTATTATCATGGGCTTATCAACTTCCATTTTATTTGAATTTTGACTCATCCTATTTAAAGAAGAACTTGAAGTAGAGTCTAACATTTCATAATACACATATATACGGTTCATGAGTTCTCTTATTCTCCACACTAAACCATTTGCCTTATCAATAAGCTAAATTATTTACCTTTATTACTCTTAGACCAATCATTCAAAATTTGTTCAATTGCACAGACTTCATGAAAATAGGAATTTGAAGTAACATATAAGACTGGTAATATAAAAACATGTCAATATAATAAAAAAAAATTAAAATATATATATATATATATATGTATAGGTTCGATTCTCAGGTTGGTTCTGTTTAGATAAGGCCTAAACCAAAAATCAATCAAATCCTATCGGTTTGACAATTTGAAGATCCGGAACCAAACCAATGCACTAAAAAACCAAACCAGACCAATTTGAAGACCCAAAACCAAAGAGGTCAATTTGGTTCGGTTCTTCGATTCTCTAGTTATTTTGAACACTCCCTATTGGATGGTGTTGTTTAGGACCGTAAGGCCCACTACGAATTCCGTTTCGATAATTTGAATAATTCTTCTTTTTTTTTGAACACTTTGTGTATTTTATTTATATAATAATTAAGTCGATCCGATAATTGTAACATAATCAATTTATCACGTTTGTTATCCCAAAAAAATGGATCTTTATTTTAAAAAAACACGATTGTCATCCATTTTTTTGTGACAAAAGCACAATAAATTGAATAAATTATGATTATTAAATCGACTTAATTTTTAATGTGGATAAAATATATGAAATACCCGACAAAATGAAGAATCTGAGGCCTTGTTTGGGAACAGGCTAATTTAGTAACTTTTTGACTATTTGGCTAAAATATGAGCTAAAAAAAATAGTATGTTTGGGATGACTTTTTGGCTTTTTACAAAAAATGTGCAAAAAGTAGAGAGAAAAGAGAATCTTGACTTTTTGGTATGGGTTGTTCGCTTTTTGACTAATTTAATAACTTTTTAACTTTTTGACTAAAAAGTTCGGTTGCCAAACAGGGCCTCAATGATCAAAATGAGACTATGGTGAATTTCACATACTCAAACCACGATTTATTTATTTTATTTTATTAATGAATAGAGAGATCATTGGTAAATAAGAGTGGAGAGAGGGCGAGAGCATGTGTTGAGTAGTGGACCAGTTGATTTACTTTTAGTCCTTATAATAAGTGTAAAGTAAACACAAATATTTGGAAAAAAAAATATAATGTTATGATTTTTTTAGAATTAAAATAATGTGTCAAAAGTTCATATAAGTGAGTTGTGTGTTTTCCGTATATGTACATGATGCAAAATTTAATTTGAGAAACTTGATTATCAGCATAAACTTGGAAATTGGAGATCTTTGTAATTTTCAAGGAACAAAAATGTGAGTTTTGGGTACTACACATAAAAATCACTCCCGTAGATCTGGATAAGGAAGCAAATTAGGGAAGTGTTTTGAGCATGAAAGATGTATCCTATATCTATTTACGGAA